GCAACGTATTGAAGACGTTACGGCGATAACTTTTAGGTACGATAGGGCGAGGAGTACTAGTGGAAATGTCACAGAGAATAGTATCTTTTCCTATACCTAAGGGTTTCTCGGCTAATTGTAGAGTTGTTTTCGACAACTCATGCCGAAGATCGGTATCTTCTTTTTGAAGACGAGCCAGTTTTACAAGGTCTATGCCGTCGATTTGGGTGAAGGGACAAATACGTGACAAGGCATCTGCCACAGTGTTGTTCACTCCGGATACATGGCGAATATCCGATGTAAACTGTGAAACGTAATCTAGTTGTCGTGATTCCCTGGGTGAATACTTATCTGAAGTTGAGTTCAGAGAGTACGTCAGAGGTTTGTGGTCAGTGAAAATGATGAATTCACGACCCTCAACTGAATGTCGAAAATGGCGTATAGCACAGTACATAGCTAGAAGTTCTCTTCCGAATGTGCTGTACTTCGTTTCAGCTAATTGAAGGCGCCTCGAGAAAAAGGCGAGTGGTTGCCACTCTTTGTTGACTAGTTGTTGCAGAACTGCGCCGATTGCAGTGTCTGATGCATCAACTGAGATACTTAACGGTGCCGTTGGATCCTGATACATGAGAAGGGTGGCATCCGCAGTAGCTTTCTTTACCTGAGTAAAAGCATGTCAAGAAGACGCGTCGAGTTCGATAGACTTGTTATTCCCTCGAAGGAGGTCTGTTAATGGCTGAATCAGAAAAGCATAGTTAGGTATAAATCGTCGGTAATAACTTACCAAGCCGTTAAATGTGCGAAGACTTTTCACTGTCTTTGGCTCCGGAAAGTTCAGTATCGCTTCGACTTTAGTAGCCAGTGGGTGAATGCCCTGACAGTCAATAGTGTGACCCAGAAAATCGAGTGAGTCAACGCCTATTTGACACTTTTGGATATTAATGGTAACACCATGTTGGCGTAACTTTTCAAATGCCAAGTCCAAGTGTCTAAGGTGAGTTTCCTTATCTGGACTGGCAATGAGGCAGTCGTCTAAGTATGCATATACAAAGTCGAGACCGCGAAATACTTCATCGATGAAGCGTTGGAATGTTTGGGCCGCATTCCGGAGGCCGAATGGCATACGTAGGAATTTGAAAAGTCCGAAAGGTGTGATGATAGCCGTTTTCGGAATATCTTCCGTTGCCATCGGGATTTGGTTATACGCTTTAACCAAGTCGATTTTTGAGAATATAGATGCTCCAGATAACGTTACCGTCAAGTCGTGTATGTGAGGCAAAGGGTACCGGCGTTCACTCGCCGGTAATCACCAGTGGGTCGCCAATCGTTACTATCCTTTTTCGGTACCATATGCAATGGGGATGCCCATGGACTATTCGATGGCCGAATGATGCCAAGGGTGAGCATATGATCGAATTCATTTCTAGCAATTCTCAGTTTGTCAGGGGCCAGTCGTCGTGCTTTAGATGTCACGGGCTGTCCTGAGGTTATGATGTGGTGCATAACATTGCTGGTTATGCACAGGAGATCGTTAGATGGGCAATTGAGTTCCGGATATTTGTCTACAATCGGTTGAAAAGTTGGATCGAGGATTGCTTTCATCTTTATGATTGACAAGCTGGGGCCACTGTAAGTTATGCCTTTGACAGACAGACTAGTAGTGTTGTCAATTATTCGTTTACGGCGGACGTCTACGAGCAAATCATGATGATTAAGTAGGTCCGTGCCGATGATGGGTATTGTGACGTCGGCGATAAATAAAATCCACTGAATAGGTTCGCGTAAACCTACGTTCAGATAGATGTATTTCCGACCAAAGGTTGCAATTGGTTTTCCATTTGCAGCCTGTAGGTTGAAGTTAGGATCCTTCTGTCGATCTGCTGCTGTAGCAGGAAGAACGCTGACTTTGGCGCCTGTGTCGACTAGATATCTAGTCTGGCTCATTACATCATGGATGTAAAGTAAGCGGCTAGTGCCACCGGCGACGGTTGCCGCTAACGCGTGTCGGCGGGATAGTTTCCCACAGACTTGGAGGCTTTGCCGAAATCACAAGGTTTTCGACAACGTTTCGCTTCCTGGCCATAGGTGTTGTGATACCAACACCAGTCAGGATTTTTGAGAGAACGTGTGTTGGACTTAGATCGTCCACGTGCGTTTTGCCGTTGAGGGGATTTAGAACGACAGTAGGAGGAATTGCTAGGCTTGTTTGACCTAAGCATCTGCTGGATGGAGTTGCATAACTCTATAATTGCAGAATCCTTACTCGAAGTCTGTTCGGTAACTGAGTATACTTCGGTAACTGACCGTTTCGTTATCTCTAGAATTCTATCTGCAGAGACAGCTAAGTCATCCATGAGAACACCCTGAAGTGTCACAAGTACAGTCTGAACTAACTGTGGCAGTTTGGATAAAAATAGTTCTCTGAACAGTCCTTCGTCGAACTGACTTTGGCCAATAATCTCTTTCATTCTTGCCAGCATGCTCACGGCTGACTAACCCCCTAACTCGATGTTACGAAATAATTCATCCAGACGTTGTCGATCCGTGAGAACGTTTCTCTTGAGGAGGGATGCTTTGAGCAACTTGTACGAGTTACTTACCTCTGGACCCGATATCTGCGGAGTTACGCACCTGCTGAATTCCCGCGGTAGGGCGTGAATAACTGCAAGGAACTGTGAACGTTGATCGGTTATGCCATGCTCACAAAAATCAGACTCGGCTATCTGAAACCACGTTTCAGCATTATCTGGCCAATATGGTACGAGCTGAATTGTTTTGGCGGTTGAGTGTATGCGAATAACCTTGGGGCTAGGATCACTCATGACGAAATGTATGCCGATCACAATATAGTACAAGAACAAACACGAAAGGGATCGAACTCACCGGGTTTATCTCCGTGTGGATTGAAGATGTAGTTCGTGATTGGGCTCACCAGTTTAGAGGTTGCAGGTATCGACGTTCGCGAATTGTACGGAGTATACTAACGCAAGATCTTATACCAACAACTTCTATAGTGTTCGCACTTCGAGTACCAAAGACAAAGCAAAAGACCAGATTAAGCCGTCCAAAGTACGTATTATATTTCGAGACCAAATTGCGGGTTGAAGTGAATGCTTAGCTAGCTAGTAATCGTGCGCGCACGTGACACGACGGAGTACCAAATGGCTGCGATGCTTGACCGGAAGCCTTCAGCTAAACAAGTCGAATTAAACAGTGAGGGTCAGCATCCGATGTTGAGTGATGATTGCTGTTGTCAATAATTTTGGGGAATTATTTACCGCTACAGGTATTAAAGCGGTATGGCTTTCAGTAACAACCAGCCTACATTCCTTGGTGATATAAACCTGGCCTAGCCTCATATTCTCTGTGAAGGTGTAGTGTATTCTTGTATCTTACTTCACACTACGTTTATTAATGTTGGAATATTTAAGTATCATCACCGTTAGTAGAACCAATATGTATGATGAAAAGTGTACTCATTTAGTTCGTCTATCTATCTCCGGTTTCTAAACAATCTTGCCTTGTCATTAGCCTTAGCACAAATGTAGTGAATGTGTGATTGCTCAAATTAATAACTTCCTGTAAACGCGTTTTATTTTTGTACAAAGTTTTTTAATAGTTAATAAGTTTAATCAAAATGTATTTTGAATAAATAACGGTAGAGGCTTAAAAGCCTTTGCATCAGCATTTCTAAAGTCAGGCTATCCTAATGTCATTGACAATATCTCCTGTTAAAGACTCTTAACCTATACATGAGTTAAAGTTTTGTTAAGTTGCAGCATTTGGATATAAGCTTTCTAATCCTTGAGTATATGCACTGTTGTCAGAAATAGACATCTGAAGAATAGACTTTTTGTAATAGCCTCAGTTAGTGAGGGTTTGGTAGTCTCTACTTAGATTGAAAAATAGAAAAAGTCATAGATTCAGAGTAACCTGATGTATATCATATAGGACTCTTTCCTATCTACACGTGACTTTACTGTTTCGAGATTTTGTGTGCAGTTATCGCTACGTCTCTATATGTCTGATTTCCCACAAACTGGAAGATATGCAAGCGAAAAGCAACAAGTTAGCAGAAGAAGCATCAAAGATAGGACTTCAGGTGAACATAGATAAAACAGAGGTGATGAAAATTCCTGGGCAACACCATCAACAGCAACAACAACAACTGACAACAATCAGCATAAGTGGGAGGAACCTGAAGGAAACAACCTCTTTTGCCTACCGACCTAGGAAGCATCGTTTCAACTACAGGCGGAACTGACGAGGATATCAAAGCAAGAATCCCAAAAGCAAGACAAGCTTTCACTACTCTCAAGTCTGTGTGGAGGTCAACAGCACTCATCATCAAATATAAGATCCGGATTTTCAACTCCAATGTGAAGTCAGTCAGTGCTACTATGCGGATGGATCAGAGACTTGCACTGCGCGTCATACAGAGCATCTCAAACAAACTACAGACCTTCATTAACAGTTGTCTTCGCTCAATACTCAAGATCAGATGGCCAGAATAGATCAGCAACAGGGATCTTTGGGAGCGAACCAACCAGGAACTGATTGTGAAACAAATAGGCAGGAAGAAATGGAGATGGATTGGCCATACTCTGAGGAAACCATCAAGTGACATCATTAGACAAGCCATCGCTCGAGTGGAACCCGAAAGGGAAGCGGCGAGTTGGTCGTCAGTGTGAGGGTGACTTGGAGGAGGTAATGTGAAGAGGAGATGAAAACGTGTGGGCAGACTTGGAGCCAGGTGAAGACTCTAGCAGAGAACCGAACGCAGTGGAGACGCACGGCTGAAGCCCTATGTTCCTGTAGGAATTAAAGGATACAATAATAATAATAATATCGCTACGTGTTTCTTCAACAGTCACTTGGTATTAACAGCAAGTTAATTTAACCAGTTTTACGAATAATGAGGTAATTACATAAGACTATTCCACAGTCATTTCTCAGTAAACTAATTCTTCTGCTCTTACAAAAAATAGACTGTAAACTTCTTTATGTCTTCTCTGTTTTAGAATTGAAATTACCTCCTGAACAAATCACAATGCATTTAATTCAACATGAAACAATGCCATTGCCAAGAATTAATGGTATGAATAATTTTCGACATGTTTTTCAAATGAAGTTTTATTAAGATTGATCAGAGAAAATTGCTTGTTTTTAATTCAGTTTTAATTTTCCTGTTGACTGATTGGACCGAAATGTTCGGCCCCAGCTGACACACGTTAGCTTGTAGTACGGATACTTAGATAATGTCTGATGATTGACTTGAAGTAATCTGGTGAATGGTAAATAGTAGTGGAATCCAGCAGAAGCACATTCCGTCCTACTTGGTACTCGTCATCTCAATGTACCTGCACTCCCCAGTGAGTGGTGCTTAAAGTTCTATCTTCCGTGTTAAGTGGTAAAGGGAAAAATCAATCGACGAGGTTCTGAAGGTACATTGATTGAGGTGGTTAGGATATGTGTTACGTATGCCTAGCCATCGCCTTCCTCGATGGGCAACGTTAGCTGACATATAATCAGATTGGAAAAGAGTTAGTAGTGGTCAAACCAAAACATGGTTTCACCAGTCAGTGAAATCCACAACAGCTAAGTTAAGCTGTCCACATAGGAAGGTGTAGACTTCTTGATTGTTTGGGGTCTTCGAGATGGCAGAAACCAGCGGCTGGAGACAATTGATGATATGGCTCAAAATCCTCGTTCTCAATGACAGCGCAGATGCACCCAATCCTAGTTATCTATAATATCCAATAAAATCCTATTGTTCTTCCATATTACTATCCTTTTTGCCTCATATTTCTGTTTATTATCTCTCTTTACTCTCTTCTCTGGCTTTGTGTACTACTAGGAGCGAGTGTTGGAACTCTTGAACCCAAGTGGAAGAATAGACCACCTCATTCATGTAGGCTTTACAGTCTATTAATAAAATAACATGCTCTACAATCACAAATACTGATGAATCGTGAAAGACGAGTAGTTTCTTCAGATGCAAATACGATTAGTATTATTCTCTTAGGTTCCAAGTAGAACACAAGTCTTCAACAATATATATTCACTTCTTCCTGATTTCTGTAGTTCTCTGTAGCTGGCTCCATAACTGTCTGTAAGCTCTCACTTCCTCCTCATACGATCTCCTGCATATTACTCTCGGACTTTCAACTTGTCATTTCCCATTAAGGTTCTACTCAAGGGCTGGTCTGACGTGCAATGTCACTCAACGATTACCTCAGCGTGTTTTCAATTCGTCTCCACTTTCTTCAGCATATTTGTTGGGTTACGGGTCCTTGTCGGTAATGGTTTCTGGCTAGCCATCTAATCTTCTGTATGGAGCTCCCGAAGGTAGCTGTTGTCAACAGTTTGAAGCCTGTTCGAAATGCTCATGGTAACGCAGGTACTAAGTCTGACTGACTTGGCATTACTGTTGAAAATCCTAATCTTGTTCTTAATGCTTAGTGCAAGTAGATTTCTTGACTTATTTCAGAATAATAAAGGTCTGTCCTTGGCCTTTCAATCCTATCTGCCTTTGCCATCTTCATCCATGCTGCCTGTGTCTGTCTGTCTGTTTTCGACATAGAACTTTGCACCGATGTGCAGCAGTTCAAGTCGCCACACTCCATGTAGCACACAAAGGAAGAAAAGAAATGCATAATAGAGACAGTAGACAGGGATATGAGACAAAAGGAATAGTAATAACGAAGAACAATATAGTTTCACTAGGTATTGTAAGTCACAAGGAGTGGATGCATTTGTGCTGTCATCAAGAACGAGGATTTTGAGTCATATCACCGATTGTCTTCAGCCTTCATTGGTTTTTACCGTCCTGAGGACCCCAACCAGTCAAGAAGTCTACACCTTCCTACATGACTGGCTTAAACTAACTGTTGTGGATTTCATTGACTGATGGGGTCATGTTTTGGTTTGACCACCACTCACCAGCTCTTTTCCAGCCTAACCCTATGTCAGCTAACATTGCCCGTCGAGCTAGGTGATGACTAGGTGCCGCCTGTGTAAATAAGTGACAATATTCACTGTTTATATAAACTGCGTAAATATATTAGAACAAGAATGAAGGATATTCAATGGGTAGTCACAGTATCAGCTATTTATTAACTATCGAAAATCATCAAAATTAACTGTCATTAGAGGAAGTGTTATAAACTGGATAAAAAAAGGGAGCAGTTTTGAGAATATGGTTTTACAAGCTTAACTAGTTATCTTTTTTTATTCCTTCACGTTCCCAGTGGAACATAGGGTTTCAACCTTGAGGCTTGAAGTTTCTGTAGCAGGTTTTATTTTTACAGGACGGGGTTGCTAGCCTCATGCCCAACGTTCCCTCTTCACCAGATTTAGTTCTGGCTTGGCGAGGTAAAGGAGTGCGCCGGCCGGGGATCGAACCTCGGACCATGTGCATGGTCGGCGAGCATCCTAACCGCTATGCCATTGACAACTAGTTATCTAACATTACTAATTAGACTGATAGCATATTAGTCAGTCAGAACATAAAAATTGAATGTTGTATCTGTTATCCAATCGTCCTACAGTGAATAAAGTTCAGATTTATCTTACCGTATAATTTTATAAGAAAGCATTATTGAACAATTTTAATAAAGTGTAATCGTGGGAATTTATCATGTGAACTTACTGTAAGCAAAAAGATTTTGCACTTTAGAAATAATGGAGAAGATTTTATAAATACTCAGAAGGGGGGATCTTATTGATGTAGCTGAGTTCCGTGACTGATTGGTTTCAATATAGAACCTTGCACACCAGAGCCAGCAGTCCCGGTTGTCACACTCCATGCAGCACACAAAAAAAGTTTTTAAAAAAAGCTTCGAAAAAACGATAATAAGCAGGGATGTGAGGAAGAGAGAAAATAGCAACATGGGAAAACAATAGAGTTTAATGAATATAGCATATCACAAAGAGTCAATTCATCTGCGCCATTGGGGACGATTTTGAGCCATTTCATCAGTTATCTTCAACCATCGGTTCTTAGAATCCTGAAGATACCAATCATGCAGCCTGCATCTCCCTATCTGACTGGTTTAAACTAATTGTTAAAGACCTCATGAACTTTTTCTAAATTTTGGCTTGAGTTAAATTCTCTGAACTGAGTAGCTTAATTATAAGTTTGCAGACCGTAGGTGTTACGAACTTCGTGGAATAATTTGAGCGCCGAGTCAGATTGATTCATTATAAATTATTTAAATTAATCCCAGCGTGTTTAAGAGAAAATCAAAACAAGATTTGTTTTCTGAACGTTTCGCTGTGTAAGTCACAGCTTCTTCAGCAGATTTATTCGGATTTTAATTAATCATCAAAATATATAGTCAAAATTTTTTTACATAAATTCAAGTCAGTTTATTTGAAGGTCACTTGTCCATGGAAGGATTTCATTCACATAAAGAAAGGTTGACCTCTGAAACCTTTCACATTTTAACCACATCGAATGCAGTGAATAGGAAAGAAGGGGATAGACTTATCACCAAACTGTAATGAAGCAAGACATGAAAAAACAATAATAACCTCTATGAACCCCCATGACCTTTAAAAAATGTATTATCATGTTTATCACATGTGAATTGACGTCTTTCCATATTTTCAAGTATTGGTTTTGTAGGGATTTTGTTTGATTGCATGGAGGATTTTATCATGAGCTGACTGATGTCATGCAGTCTTTCCATGTGACAAATAACATACACACACGCACTCATACAGAACTAATCCTTACAAATCAACTATAGAAAAATATACACAATATGAATTCGACATTAGTCATTACAAATATATGATGACTGCTTACATATTTCTATTGGTACAAATGTCCATGGACAAGTGACCTTCAAAAAAACTGACTTCAGTTTATGTAAAAAAAATTTGACCTGATATTTTGATGATTAATTAACATCCAAATAAATCTGCTGAAGAAGCTGTGGCCTACACAGCGAAACGTTCAGAAAAATCTTGTTTAAATAGCTTGAATTGTCTTTCTCAGTCGTCAAAAGAGAGACAATTATATAATTAATGTTGTATGTAAAGTGTACATTAAGTCTATCAAACAAAAACACAATTGGTTATGAACGCATAAAGGTGGTTTAAACTTTCTAATTGCCAGCTACGGCTTCCACAAACTTTAGGATACACCCCAAACACGTTTTATAGATAGGTTTAAAAGATCTGTTAACGTGTGGACACACATGCATAGGGAGGACTCATCTATCTCTGCAAGTAAGGGCTTCAGAGCATATTCCTAAATGGCTCCAGAAACAAATGGAATCTTCAGAATCTATTAATGGTGAGAACAGGAGACCTAGGTCTTCTATTGCGAAACATATTGTAGAGACAGGACATAAAATTGACGTTAACAGATCTCTTAAACAATTGGTTGTGGTTATTTTAATTAAAGTGGGGGGAGTGTGAGAATTAGTAAGTTTTGGGTGAAGTTACGTAACACAAAAACGGTCAAGAAAATTGGATGTTACTGAAATTAGGTTAGTAACAAAGGTTGTGAGTTGTCACAAACAGTTGCTAATCAGGAGTTACGTAATGATATGAATAGTCTGATGATTGAGTTGTACTCAGGATACACATAGGAACAAAGTAGAGTATATGAAATTATGTAAGAGTTCTAAATAAATACAAGAATTATGAGCAAGTAGAGAAACAGGCAAACAAACAAAATTAAATCATCAAAAATCAACAACGTTGTTACCATGATAGTAGATGTGGTTGAGTAATTCTCTTTTGTATGCACAGCTCCGATTTTTATATGTGAATGGCTAGAGCTTCAGCAATACAAAGAAGACGAAAGTGTATTGCCTTTGGTAGGTTATTCTTGACTCTGTAGATTACTTTGAAGGAGGAGGCGTTTGTTGAGATGGAATGATCAGTGTTAACCAGGTGTTCAATTATCGCACTTCTTATAGCACCACTATTGTCTTATCTCAACCATGCTGGGTAGTGTTCTTGAATCGTCTTGGACAGGATGCGTGTCAAACGACCGATGTACCTGACTCCACAGCAACAGGTGAACTGAACTGTCACTACACTAGTTTCATTAACGCCCAATTTTCTTGACCGTTTTGTGTTACGTAACTCCACCCAAAACTTATTAATTCTCACCCCCTTTTGCTAAAATAATCATAACCTATTGTATTTTTGTTTGACAAACTTAGTGTCCACATTCATACAAAGTAACCTACATATATTTGCGATTGTACAGCTAAGAAAATGAATTCGCTGGCGAAAAGAGACTCTTCGCTGAACTACGTGCTTTATTTTCATTAATGCCTGGATGGGGATTATCCATGAGTTATATTATTTACAGAAACAACTCAATTAAGTCAATAATAATGATGATAATAATAATGAACCTCGTAGACCATCAGGTCCCAGTGGCTCAAGGGTCTATGAGCTCGCCTTGTAACCAGAAGGTCCTGAGTTCGAACCCCGGTGGGTGCGTATTGCTGAAGAGTCACAAACTAGGACGGAACGGCTGTTCAGTCCTCCCAGGTTTTCCAGTGGTTATCTAACTGATGTCAGCTCATGATGAAATCCTCCATGAAATAATAATAATAATAATTATTATTATTATTGTATCCTTTAATTCCTACAGAAACATAGGGCTTCAGCCGTGCGTCTCCATTGCGTTCGGTTCTCTGCCAGAGTCTTCACCTGGCTCCAAGTCTGCCCACACGTTTTCATCTCCTCTTCACATGACCTCCTCCAAGTCACCCTTGCACTGACTACCAACTCGCCGCTTCCCTTTCGGCCAGGTTCCACTCGAGCAATGGCTTGTCTAGTGATATCACTTGATGGTTTCCTCAGAGTATGGCCAATCCATCTCCATTTCTTCCTGCCTATTTGTTTCACAATCGGTTCCTGCTGGGTTGGTTCGCTTCCAAAGATCCCTGTTGCTGATCTTTTCTGGCCGGCCATCTGATCTTGAGTATTGAGCGAAGACAACTGTTAATGAAGGTCTGTAGTTTGTTTGAGATGCTCTTTATGACGCGCAGTGCAAGTCTCTGATCCGTATAGTAGCACTGACTTCACATTGGAGTTGAAAATCCGGATCTTATTTTTGATGCTGAGTGTTGTTGACCTCCACACAGACTTGAGAGTAGTGAAAGCTTGTCTTGCTTTTCCGATCCTTGCTTTGATATCCTCGTCAGTTCCGCTTGTAGTTGAAACGATGCTTCCTAGGTAGGTAAAAGAGGTTGTTTGTTACAGGTTCCTCTCATTTATGCTGATTGTTGTCAGTTGTTGTTGTTGCTGTTGGTGGTGTTGTCCAGGAATTTTCATCACCTGTTTTCTCTATGTTCGCCTGAAGTCCTATCTTTGATGCTTCTTCTGCTAACTTGTTGCTTTTCACTTGCATATCTTCCAGTTTGTGGGAAATCAGACATATATCATCGGCGAAGTCAGAGAATTTGCGAACAAATGGTACAAAAATTTTCAGTATATTTAGTTCCAAAATACTTTTTTCTCTATACAGAAATTACATGTAGAGTAATAATCTGAAGTATATCTTTATTTCGTTGAAGAATTGCACAGCGTTTAGTTGGAAGCCAGTTTAAATCAGCGCTCAAATTCATGTATAGGTCATTTAATATAACTGAACGATTAAAACAATGATAAATCCAGATGAAATTAAGCATTTTTCATGAGAAGCAACTCCGGTAGCCCAGTGATTTAAGCAGGCCGCCTTAAGTTCACTCCATATTAAAGTCTACGCTGAAGATGTTGTCTAGATAGACATCCACATCAGAGAATACAAACAACTCTGCCAAGAGCTCCACTTTTATTTAATTGTCTATTGATCATATTAATCACTAATAGTGGTGAACTTTATGCAATGGAGGTGGTAGCTGTCAAATTCTTAGTTATTACAAGTTTCACCACGGATTGATATCATTTAGAGAACCATTGAAAACTAGCCAGGGAGTACTGAACAGCTGTTTCATTCGCCTAGTTTGGGAATCATTGGCAACACGCATCCACCACCAGGGTTCGAACCCAGGACCTTCCGGTTACAAGACAAGCTAGCTCGTATACCATTCAGCCACTGGGACCCGTTTCAATCGCCGCTAGCCCATGAATTCTAACTTCTACCAATTCGTGATGTAGCGCGACTAGCAGCAACCAATGTCATCAATGGGAAATCCATCTTCTCACTTGACTGGGTGGACCTCACCGGTCACGACTTCTCACTAGAACTCCAGGAAACTCCGTTCTGTAGCAAGTTACTAGCAAGCATCAGATTAATTTTTATTTCTAGTTAAGCAAAAGAACCTTCTGGAAATAAGGACTTGAAAATTGTTTATATAACTTTTTTGTTTCATGAATAATCCCCATCCGGACATTAATGAAAAATAAAACACATAGTTCAGCTAAGAAGAGTCTTTTCGGTGGCGAATTCATTCACTTGACTGTACAATCACAATTATATGTAATTATTTTTGTATGTGTGTACATTAGGTTTGTCAGATAAGAATAACAGTTAGTTAGAGTTGTTGATTACGTCACCAAATTTTTCGAAGGAAATGTGATGAATCATCAAATTGTAACTAGGTGTTGGGTGGTGGTGACGATCAGTAAGACGGTAGTATTGTGGTGAGAGCTGGCTGTTAGCCGAAGTTGGTAGACAGTAATTGACGTCAATGTTTATGTCCCCAATATTGTTGGTGAGAAAATGAGAACAAAGGCTTTGCGTAGGCGGATACAGTTACCATATGGATGATCTGACACAGCCACAAAGCGATGCAAGGTTAACTTTCTGTGAGAAACAACCAATCAAAAGACTGTATTTTCTACCAACAATAATCTACTATAATGTACATTAAAATCTATAAATATTTGTTGATTTTCCTTAATAAACGATCTGTTGCCTGGCCCTTGTATTCTGTTGTTACAGTAGTGATGACTTGTCAATGCATAAAACAAGTTGAATAGGTGTATTACAGTTACGTAATAAGAGGAATAATCTAGTGAGTGAGTTTTCATGAGGATGACTATAGAAACGAAGGGAAATATGGAATTATGTAAGAGTTGTGAAGAAAGACAAGAGTTATAAGGAGTTAGAAAAGCAAACAATACGAACATCAGGTGAGTAGAAATCAACTTTCTGTTTATCAACCCCACAATACTGCAACTATCCATATCATCTCAACGATAACTTCCCTTGGCTTTACACTGTAATGTTACACACAATGGTGATAGCATGCTGGATAGCAAAAATTAGCCACTAATATATTCCAAGTTGGATCATTGGAAAGCCGTTATTGGAGTACTGGCCAGTTTTTTCGTCCTAGTGTGAAACACATAGGCAGTAGCCATCCACCTACACACACGGCCGGGATTCGAACCCCAAGACATTTTCAGTTGCAAATCAATTGCTTACAAACACAAACTCTTGACAATCAATCCAATGTTCCCTAGTGATTGGCTACAGGATGAAGTCGCCTGAGGTTCTAATGAGAAGTTGTGACCGGTGAGGACAAAATACTCACCAGCGGTGACATTGGCTGATGCCAGTCGCGATGAAATCACGAATTGGTAGAAGTTATAATTCATCGCCTGGCCAATAAGTCAGATCCCAGTGGCTGAGAATGGTCTATGAGGCTTGACTTGTAACCGAAAGGAAGGTTCTTGGTTCGTGAAATTTGATGGGTGGGTGAGTGGGTAGGTAGGTACTTTCGATGAGGCAGCGTGTCCAGTACTGGTTTTCAACAGTCCTCTAACTGATATCAATCTGTAATCACATTTGAAACAAACTAAATCTGTCTGTTTTCGACATAGAACTTTGCACCGGCGTGCGGCAGTTCAAGTCGCCACACTCTCCCCATGTAGCACACAAAGCAAGAGAAGAAAGTAGAAGAAATGCATATTAGAGACAGTAAACAGAGGTGCGAGACAAAGGAATAGTGATAACGAAGAACAATATAGTTTCCTTGGAAATTATAAGTTACAAGGAGTGAATGCATCTGTGACAGCCATTGACAACGAGGATTTTGAGACATATCACCAATTGTCTCCATCCATTGATTCTTACCATCCCGAGGACCCCAACCAGTTAGGAAGTCTACACCTTCCTACGTGACTGGCTGGCTTAAACTAACTGTCGGGGATTTCATTGACTGGTGCCTCAAACTAAATCCCTACAGAGTAACTCTTGAAAACTGAAATATTTGAATTCTATAAACAATATTTAACTAAACCTCCTCCGCCCCCCTGCATTATTTCATTAAGTCAAGAAAATGCATGACCTTCTTAGTTGTTCAGTTTTGTTTTTTCAAGGTTATTGTCAAATTATTGTCACAGAATTATTATTATTAAATAATATTTTCCTTAAATAGTTTATTTATACTGATTGACCTTTTATTTCTACAAAAAAGCAAAACAAAAACAACAAACATTTGAACTCATCCTAATCTCTTTTATAGGTCAACAACGAAGATTCAAACGAAGACGTTGTCGTTTAAATTGTCTATCATGTCTATCATGACACATCATTAATTTTTTTGTAATTTATTCAAATGATTTAAAACTCATGTCAGAAAAAACAAACAAATAATTTGCCAATGTCTTTCTTAAAGAGCGAATTTCTTTTTGCCTCTTTCTCAACTTGCGTCGCACCCCACCCCACCCCCGGGCTTCTCTCTCTCTCGCGCGCGTGCAAATTGTAATAAAACAGTTGAGAAGTCGTTACTACTATAATGTGATATATATATGCATATGCATATATATTTATCGTTTGTAAATATTTCCAAGGCTTATCAACTTACTTACTTAGAGAGAGATGAGACCGAGAAGAGAATTCGACAAAAAGTGAATGTGTAGATTTCTTTTTTTCAATGTGTTTTGATGCATTTACATTTCTTTAAGACACATATGCATATATATATATATATACGGACTACTTTTATATATTCAGTATTCAATAGTTAGTATTTCTTTTAATGATCTACTTGTGTTGACATATTCGTTGTCCTCTTGTTCATATACCCCAACAACGCTGTAAGTAAGTAAGGAAGGAAGGAAGGAAGAATGCATGGAATAGATTTTACAGGTAAATTCAAAACATGTTCTCCTCATCCTCTTATTATCTGCATATATATATATATATATATATATATATATATATATATATATATATATATATAAATACGCTTACTCTTGATTCGATGGTGTAAAGATGTCTTAACTCAAGCTCTTTACTTTACTGCTATTATTATTATTATTATTATTTTATTCGAAATTGAATAGATGTGTAAAATGTGTATTTGAGTGTGAGGGTGTATGTGCGTGTGTCTGTTTGTGTATGCATAATTATTGTGCTGTTGTTGTTGGTGTTGTTATTGCTGTTATTATTAGTATTATTCATTATCGCATTCTATATATGCTTTGTGCAATAATGTATTTTTGAAGTTTTAGTGATATATTATAATATACATATATACATTAAAATTATGCATTGGAATTCGTATTGTTTTACCTCTTTTAAAGGTGTCGGTTACGCTATGTTTATTTACTTATTTTTTTTTGTCGTATTGTATTTTATTCTTTTGAGTTCCCAGGTGGAATGCAGAACTGCATGCTTGAACTTTGAAATTTTAGTAACACGATGTGATAAGGTCGCTAGCCTCTCTCCCGACACTGCTCTCTTTACTGGGCTTATTATTGTCTATGTGAGGTAGAGAAGTGCGTCTGCCGGGGTTCGAATCCTGGATCATCACTTTGTTGGTTGGAAACGATGTCCCAACACAGAAAAATCAATGTGAACTCTGTATGTGATCTTAAATTAGACCGCCGTTACCAGCAGTAGTAGTGTGTAATGGGAGGTCAGTGCACAAATAAACTATTCTGATTGGTTGATGATTAACTCAAGGTGACGAAAAGTTGTCCAGTAAGATTATTTCAGGACCACAACGTAGACTAAATCCAGATTTGAAGAATAAACACTTTTATCTCTGTTGTAGCCATTGAATTAAAATGTTGATTTCAAATTTTCACCGCTTCCTGTCAGCTCGCATCTATATAGTACACACCACAGTATTAGTGCACTTTAATTTAGAGAGACTGGTGTGTACATATATGATAACCGCTTAATACGACAGTCAGTTGTTTTCCAAAATGTTTACTTCATAATTTGGCATTCCCCCTCTCCCCACCTTATGTAGTATACATGAAGTGACTTATTTAATGCTGGGGTGGGAGTAGGATCTAAAACGTGTATTTCCTCCTCTATTTGGAAGTCGTCATCTGAATGTACCTGCTCTTCTTATTGAGATTTAAATCCAATAGGCACATTGTTTCTGACATTAAAGCGTCATCCAATAGGCTACTGGACTTCAGGAATCTTTCATTTACACAAACTATGATATTTGTGAGTGGCTTTACTTCATATAGCAGCAGCTAATTATAGCGTCATAGTTCGTTGCTATGATTTGGTTTAATGACAAGTTATACTTTTTTTTCTGTATGCTTTTTAAATGAGATTTTGCATTAAACAATCTTTTCTGACGTACATATTATCCATCTATCTGTGGCATTATGTTCTTGAGCTGCGTTACATTTGCTGTACTTTCATCAGAAAATGTCACTTGATACTGATGTCAGTGCAACATGATGGATTAAAGGGAGGTAGTAAGTTAAAAAGTTAAACGTATATTATGGAATTTTCATGAAGTCGTGCTGATTGGTATATTTTTGCCTATTCTGTGGAGCGTCACTTCAAGAAAGAAATATGCCATATATAATCTCCCAAAATTTGTTATTTTGAAAACTAGAACGAGCATATTTTCAGGATAATAATACGAGCTCCTTTTATTTCGTGGATTCTCTTCAAATGTATAAAAACAACTTGTGCTGAAGATGTTGTGTAAAAGGACGATGAAGGCTTCGCAATTAAATTAACCAAGCTCAGAGAACACAATTAATTCAATATCAACCACCTGAACTACAAATCTTCTGCATTATTTCAGAGTGACTGTTTATAGTATGATTAGAAAAGAGGGAGGGTAGGGGTAGATTTCAGATTTCGCTTGGAAACGAAAATAAACGAGGTAGAACAACAGAGTGAATTTATACATGTTATGATGAAGAGGTTGAGAGTGAATAATTCGCCTGCTTACATCATTTCTTTGAATTATATTACCTATACTTTCTATCTATAACTCGACATTACTGTGACAAAAAGTATGTTCAGACACCATTTTGTAACTTATAATTTGATTTTGTTTAGAATGTACGCAGCTGAAGAGGATCCATGAAATAAAAGGAGCTCGTATTGTGGTGAGAGCTGGCTGCTAGCCAACTTGGTTGACAGCAATTTACGTCAATGTGTACGTTCCCAATATTGGTGATGAGATAAGAACAAAAATAAAGACTAACTTGACTCAACAATTAATCACAGCAGTCTTTGCGTAGGCGGATACAATTTGCAGATAGATAATCTGAACTTCAAGAAACAGTCACAAAGAGATGAAAGATGAACGTTCAACGAGAAACCACTGATCAGAAGACTGTGTTTGTTTGCTTACAATTGTAACGACAGAAGACAAGGGCCAGGCAACAGATCGCTTATTTAGGAAATCAACACATATTTATAGATTTCCATGTATATTATTAGTTTTCTGATTGGTGGTTTCTCGTTGAACGTTAATCTTTCATCTCTTTGTGGCCGTTTATTGCAGTTCAGATTATCTATCTGGAAATTGTATCCGCCTACGCAAAGTCTGCTGTGATTAATTGTTGAGTCAAGTCAGTCTTTGTTCTTGTTTTCTCATGACCAATATTGGGAAAGTACACATTGACGTAAATTGCTATCGACCAATTTGTCTAGCAGCCAGCTCTCACCACAGTATTATTATCCTGCAAATATGTTCGTTTTTCTCTCTCCATATTCAAATTAATAAAGGGAACTGGTTGTATGACATTTGTTGCTGACCAGAGTTATACGTGGATATGAGTTGATTGGTTTAGCTGATACATTTTTCTTCAAATATTAGTTTGTAGGCAATTGATTGATTTCAAATTTGATCATGAACAGACTCCAGTTGAAGAACCATTGAAAATCAAGAAGAGGGATCCATCATGCGAAGTATAAGGACGTATACTGGGGGATGACATTGAGTGGGGGTCACGCTAAATGTATCACAAACTTGCCATTGGATTCTGACCCAATAGCTAAATGATCAGTTAGCTCACCTTGTACCCTGAAGGTTTGATCCTCGATGCCGTCATGAGTGTGTATTGTTGTAGAATCCTATATAAGGTCGAAACAGTTGTCTGATACTCCAACACTGGTTTTCAATAGTCCTCTAAATGCGAAGTCAGTTTGTGATTAAAGCGTCGGTGGCACAGCGGCTAGGACTCTCTCACATGGTCCGGGGTCCGATTTCCTACCGACACACCTGATATCAATGGTCGACCTGCAAAATTTGGGCTACCGATATCACATGCTGAAAACTCCATACTTGTACGAAAAATTCGGTGTGAAATCAAGCTATAATCAAAAATCAAAAAAAATTGTTATAAGTCATGAATTCTTTATTGCGCGTTTATATATTGGTAGGTAAGCAATTTTATTGGATATTTGTAGTTATCAAATAATAAAGTTGTAAATGGTCTGTCAGTTGTTTAGTTTCCATCGCATATAGTGTCCACTTGGTATCACTTTCTGAAAGTTGAAGATCTGTGGTTACTTCATAATTATAATGATATTACAGCTTAGCGAATTTTGATTGCACTTTATTTCTACTATGATGGTTATATGACCAAGTTAATTTATAACAGCCACACCATTCCTAACCCGACTCAAAGAACCTACAAAATCACCTAGATTGTTATATTATTATCACTGTCTCCTTTAGTTCCTAGAGGAACATAAGGCTTCAGCCGCACGTCTCCACTGTGTTCGGTTCTCCGCCAACGTTTTCACCTGGCTCCACGTCTACCCACATGCTTTCATCTCCTCTTCGCATTACCTCCTCCATGTCACCCTCGCACTGACTACCAACTCGCCACCTCCCATTCGGTTGGGTTCCACTTGAGAGATTGTCTGGCGTTTGATGTCTCAGAGTATAGCCAATCCACCTCCATTTCTTCCTGCATATTTGTTTCACAATTGTTTCCTGCTGGGTTGGTTCCCTCCCAGAGATCCCTCACTATTGCTGATCTTTTCTGGTCATATTATCTGAAGCGAAGACAGCTGTTGATGCAGGTCTGTAGTTTGTTCGAAGTGCTTTTCATTACTCGTCAAGTCTCTGATCCATATAGTAGCACTAACTTCACATTCGAGTTGAAAATCCTGATCCTATTTTTCATGCTGAGTGCTGTTGACCTCCACACAGACTTGAGAGCAATGAAAGCTTGTCTTGCTTTCCCCATCCCCGCTTTGATATTCTCATCAGTTCCGTCCGCCTGTAGTCGAAACGATGCTTTCTAGGTAGGTAGATAAAGGTCACTTCTTTCAGATTTCTCCCACTTACGCTGATTATTGTCTGTTGTTGTTGCTGTTTGCCAGGAACCTTCATCACTTCTGTTTTCTCTATGTTCACGTGAAGTCCTATCTTTGATGCTTCTCCTGCCAACTTGTTGCTTTTCACTTGTATATCTTCCAGTTTGTGGGAAATCAGACGTATATCATCGGTGAAGTCCAGATGCTTCAAGTTTTTTGTGTGTCCATTTTAT